CTACATAAACATTTTAATGAAATATTTGTGTCCTAGTACACTGCATTTTCATTTGTAAGAATGAAATTTGAGAAAACATTCTTGGATGAGACCTTGTATTTGGTTTGAAGGAAATGAGGAAGAACACCAACTAAAACCAACTAAAAACACCACCTAAATCTTCAATAATATTTGATTGGTGAAGAAAATAAAGGTCTGTGTATGGAATGGAATAGAATACAGACATCAGAAATTATGATGTACAATAATAGTTAATAACAAGAAAGTTAGTTTAGGAAATAATATTAACAGTATGACTCAATTTCCGTGGAATAAAAATGGACTGTTTCTCCAGCCACATTATAATCTTATTCATCTTTGGTTCGTGGTTTTACAAGTGCTTTCCACTTTTGTATATATTTTAATATGCATTTCTTAATTTTCCACAGTGGAATTACATTTGTTCTAATAAACTGAAGAAAACACTAAAGGCATACTGTGCTGACCTCTTTCTTTTGAAAAGTGAAAAAAGGATTTTAATGTTTTGAATGAGGGTTGTGTGGAGGAAACAACCTCTTGTGCTGTGGGTGGGAGCATACATATGAACAGCCCCTTTGTGGAGGGTCTTTGGGCAGCAAAAAACACTTAGGAAGGTTTCTCAGGAAATAATCCAACAGATAAACATATATCTGGCTACATGGAGTCCATAGAAATATTGATTGAATAGGCTAAAATTTGAAATGATTTTAAAACCAAAAATTAGTTACAGATAATAGGATTTGTTAATTAAATTGAATAGAATTCTGACACTGAACAGGAAGGAGCAGAAAAATATTTAAAGGCACATATTTTTTCAGATTCCACATATAAGTGGAATCTAAAAATTGAGACAAATAAAAAAATAAAATAAATAAAAAATGAGACAAATGAACTTATTTACAAAACAGAAACAGACTCACATACATAGAAAACAAACTTATGGTTACCAAAGGGGAAGAGATAAATTAGGAGTTTGGGATTAGCAGATATAAACTACTATGTATAAAATAAATAACAAGGTCCTACAGTATAGCACAGGGAACTTATAGTCAGTACCTTGTAATAACCTATAATGAAAAAGAATATGAAAAAGAATATGTATATATATATGCATGACTGAATAACCTTGTTGTACATCAGAAACTAACACAACATTGTAAATCAACTATACTTCAAAAAAAGACACATAAATGTTGAAGATTTATCATTTTGTGATAAAAGCAAATATTTGGTATATTTTTATAAAAATAAGGCTATATACACAAAGTTCATACAATGGAAAGGAATGCTTTCAAATTAAGTTTTGGTCACATCTCTGTGTTGTGTGGAATTCTGGTCATTTTTATATCTTCTTATCCTGATTTATTATGTATCTACAACAAAGTATTGGCTCTTGTGTAATAATATTTTTAAAGCTTGAACAAAACAATAAGAACCAAGTAGTTTTAGTTAATTAAATGATCAAAGAGCCAATGTAATTAAAGATACTCAATGGAGGCATTCATGTGGGCACTGTATCACATTACCCATGGGACCCTATACTGGAGCAACTTCAATGAAAACCAAAAGGCAACATTTCATTCAAAGCTTTGAAATATACAGGCACTTTCAAAGTGCCACTTAACCTTGTGAAATCTTCGCCTTGTAAGTAATTCCAGATATCAGCACAAATTTAAACACAAAGATGTTCTATTCACTATCCCCTATTTAAATTGGGAACAATTTGAATCACCTTGAATATTCAACAATAATGGAGAAGGCTGAGAAAGTAGGAATTGGTCACGGGAATTTAAGGTATTACAAACATTGCACATTATGTCATAGAAGAATATTTAAAGACATGGAAAATTGAACAGTATGGTTTTTAAACATTTTGTTTAGAAGTGATTACTGTTACACAGGAAGTTGCAGAGGTAGTACAGAGATTCTGTGTACTCTTCACCCAATATTTCCCAGAATTACTACTTAAGTATATATAGTACAATATCAAAACCAGGAAACTGACATGGATATAAATGTATGCACATAGTTCTATGTATTTTATTATGTGTAACCATCACCACACACAAGATATAGAACTATTCCATCCTAACAAGTTTCCTTCTTACTACTCCTTTATAGTCAACACTACCCGCTACACATTGTTGCTATCCTTTATTCCATGTAACCACTGATCTGTTTTCCATCTCTATAATTTTGTCATCTGAAGTAGGTTATATAAATGGAATCATATAGCATGTAAATTTTTGAAATTGGCTTCTCAACTCAGAATAATGCTCTTGAGATCCATCCAGGTTGTTGTGAGTATCAACAGTTTGTCCATTTTTACAGCTGTGGAGTATTCCATGGTATGAATGTACCACAGCTGGTTTAACCACTCACGTATTGGAGGACATTTGGGTTGTTTCCAGTTTTTCACCATTATAAATAAAGGCGATGTGAAAAAAATTGAGGAAAATACCCTTGATTATTTTCTGAAAGTTTTTTTTTTAAATCATGAATGGCTGTTGCATTTTGTGAAATACTCTTTCTACATTTGGTCATATGATTTTTCTATTTAGCCTGTTAATACAGTGGATTACATTCACTGATTTTCAAATATTGAACAGAACTTACATCCACGGAATGAACTCCACTTAGTCATGGTGTATAATTTTTGTGTGTGTACATGTATCACTTAATTCTATTTGCCAATATTTTGTTAAGAATTTTTATATCTATATTCATGAGTGATATTGCTGTGTTATATTTTCTTTTTATACTTTATATGTTGAGATTTGGTGTTATGGCAATATTGAGTTTGATAGGAAACTGAGAACTGGTTCCTCCTCCTACATTTTCTGGAAGTGATTGTGTAAAACTGATATAAATTGTTATTCAAATATTTTGGAAAATTCTCCAGTGATGCCACCTAGACCTGGAGTTTTCGTCTTTGGAAATTCTTAACAAATAAAATTACCTAATACTGATAGGGCTATTCAAAGTACTTATCTCAAATTGGGTTAGTTGTGGTCTTTTCTGCTTTTTGTTTTTTCCTAAGTTGTAAAATTTATGTATTTAAAGTTCTTTGTAGCGTTCCCTTGTTATCCTTTTGATATCTGCAGGGTGTGTAGTGATATCCATTGTTTCATTCCTGATATTTTGGGTCTTCCACTTTTTTCTTGCTATATTTTTACCAAATTTATTAATTTCTTTAAAGAATTAGCTTTTTGTTTTACTGTTTTTCTCTATTGATGTTCTGTTTTTAACCATGGATTCTTTTGAAGCTTATCTTTAAATTCTGGGCATTTAGATTGCCTCTTTTCTTTCTGTTGTTGATACCTAGTTTGCTTCCCTGTGTTCAGAAAACACACTGTGTATGATTTCAATATTGAAAATTTGTTGAGGTTTGTTATATGGCTCAGGACATGGTCTATCTCATATATTCTGCCGGTGTTGAAAAGAGTGTGTATTCTGCTCTTGATGGGAAGAGTGTTCTCTAAATGTCAAGAAGATCCTGTTGATTGATAATGTTGTTGAGTTTTTCTATATCTTTGGTGAATTTCTGTCTAGTTCTATGAATTGCTTAGAGGTGTCTTGAGGTTATCAACTATAATTGGAGATATATATATTTCTCCTTTCAGTTCTATCAATTTTTGCTTCATACATTTTGCAGCTACTGTTTGGTATATACACATTAGGACAGATATGTCTTCTTGGTTGGTTTATTATTCTATTATGTAATTTCCTCTCTATCCTTGAAAAATTTCCTTGCTCCTGCTTTTTCTTAATTAATAAGTGTGTTTTATATTTTTCCCCACCATATTACTTTCAACATACCTGTATCATTTTATTTGAAATGAGACTTTCTGTAGATAGCATATAGTTGAGTGATGTTTTTAAATCCACTCTGCCAATCTTTGTCTTGTGGATGATATAGATAGACCATTACATTTAATGTGGGTTTTGATTTTTTTAAAAGGCGTAAACATGGATTTTTTTTTGTTTTCTGGCTTTTCTCTCTAATTTTTCTTTGCTTTTCTTTATCCTATCTTCCTGAGTTACTTGAACATTTTTTTCAAATTCCTTTTTGATATATTTATAATATTTTGTATTTACCTCATTATATAGTTTTCTCAGTGATTTCTCTAGGTACTATAGTACATATACATACAGAGCTTATCACAATCTACTGGTGTCATATTTTTACCAGTTTAAATGAAATATAGAAAACTCACTTGCCTTTACATTCTTTTACTCTCCCTATTTATAATATGATTTTTGTAAATATTTCCACTACGTATATTGAGTACTACATCAGATAGTGTTATAATTTCTGCTTTAACCTCAAACATAATTTAGAAAACTCAAGAGAAGGACAGGGAAATATATACAAGATCTTGTGGTAACCACATTTTTAATCCATAATTTTTTCCTTTATAATGTCCCAAGATTCCTTCTTGATCATTTCCTTTCTTATTAGAGAATTTTCTGCAGCTATTGTTTTAGGGTAGATCTGTTAGAAACTAATTCCCTTATTTTTCTTTTTCAGAGACTGTCTTGATTTTCCCTTCATCACCAAGGGGTTTTTTCCCACTAGACACAGAATTCTAGTTCTATAGTTCTTTCCTTTCAGCACTGAAAAATTTTGAGCCACTACATTCTGAACTTCATGATTTCTGATGAGAAAACCATTGTCATATAAATTGTTTTTTCCTACATATAATGCTTCATTTATCTCTGGATGTTTTCATGATTTTTTTCTTTGTCTTTAGTTTTCAAAATTTGATTATGACTTGTTATGGCATGTTTCTTGGGGTTTACCATGTTTGTTGTTCACTCAGTTTCTTGACTCTGCATGTTTATGTCTTAGACTAAATGTGGTAATTAGCAGTCATTATTTCTTAAACTATTTTTTGCCCACTGTATTTATCTTCTCCATCCAGGATTCTGATGACATGAGTGTTAGATATTTTGTTATACTCCCACAAGTATCTCATGCCTTTTTTTTTTGTCTATGTTCTCTTAGTTGTCCAGATTGGGTGAATTCTGTTGTTCTGTCCTCAACTTCACTGACTCTATATTCCGTTCACTCCATTCTTCTATGGAGTTCATTCATTGAGTTTTTTATTTTGGTTATTGTGTTTTTGTTCTAAAATTTCCATTTGATTCTTCTTTATATCTTTTATTTCTTTGATAGTTTCTATTTCTTTTCTGAATATTTCTGTTTTCATTTGTTTCAAGACTGTCATTGCTCATTGAAGCATTTTTATCACAACTCCTTTAAAATTCATGTCAGATCATTCTAACATCTGTGTCATTTCAATATTGGCATTTGTTGATTGTCTTTTCTTATTCAAGTTGAGATCTTTCTGTTCTTTTCTATGTCATGTGAACATTTGGGTATTATAAGCCTGGATTGTACTTAAATCTTATGTTTTTAACAGTTCTCCTCTGTTACTGTTCCAGTGGAAGAAGGGCAGGATGCTTTCTACTTACGTATGAGATGAGAAGTCCAGGTTCCCCACTTGGTTTCCACTGAAATCTAGGGGAAGAGAGGATTCTTATCCCAATGGGCAGTGGTAGGAAATCAAGCTTCCTACTAGTCTTTGGTGATACTACCCTCGCAAGAAGTTATAGGGATGACTCATTATGCTATTTCCAACATACCTCTACTAGCCCTGTGGAAAGAGTTGGCTTTATTACTGCTGAGTGACAGTGAAAGTCTTGAATCCCCCTAGGTCTCCTGACACCACCTCAATGAGAATAGGTAGGAGTGCCTCATAATTAATGGGATTATGTGGGAGTGTAGGAGTGATGGGGCAGGCTTCCCACATGATTACCACTGATGCCACAGATATTGCGTCTTCTTACTGATCATTTAGATGAAAGTCCCTGATCCCCAGTGAGTCTGCTCTAAAATACTTCCCATTATGGGTGGTTAGAGTGCCTCATTTGTGCCTGGCAAGTGTGGAAGTCTAGGCTCTCCACTCAGTCTGTTCTATTGAGGGTGGTGATGGGACTGCAGTGTTTTTTTCTGTGTTGAGGTGGAGTAGAGTGATTCTTGTCTAAAAGTTGTCTGTCTTGCTAGGCTGCTGTTTTCCTCATACTTTGACTAGAGAAATTGGGCTTTATCTGGAATTTTTATGTTTGTCCTCACAGAAATTTCCGGGTTTCTGCTATCACCAGTACCAAATAGGGAGGTATAAGCCAAAAGGCAAACACATGGAACTCAAGACCATGTTGTTCCACAGGTACTGGAATCCCTTGCCAGTCTGCCCTATTTTCTGACTTTATAGGATTTTTTAATGATTGTTTAATTGTAATGTGCAGTTTTTTAAAGATGAACTTAGATGTAGAAATTGGGAAAGTAAGTATATACTCCATCTTCTCAGAAGCAGAAGTCTTTAGACAATAAGAAGTATAAATGAGTAAATGAAGGAGAAGATAATAGTGGTAAATCTAGAAACATGTGGAGAATGGTTCTACTTCTATTGAATGATTATATATGATATATCATAAGTTGCTTACACAAATGTATATGTGTGTGTATATATATATATATATATATACACACACACATAGATAAATACACACACAGGAGTTATATCCAAATTTTAACAGTTTTACCTTAAGGTTGTATGACTGCAGCTGCTTTTATTTTTCTTCAATTTAACTATATTCTCTTCTTTTTTGCTTACCTTTACTCACTGGTATTAATACACAAACTCTAGTATGTGTGAAATTAAAATATACTCAAGAAAAATGTTTAAAGTATTAGCCCACTGCATTGAATAAATACAAGTGTTATAATACTCAGTGTAGGAAATAGTTTGAAGAAATGGGTATTTTCTTTCCAGGCTGCATAAATAAAACTGTCTCATGATATGGAAGACTACTTATCAGTAATATTTAAATTATTTTTGACATTACCATTCTATGAACATCAAGTTCCACTTGTAGAAATATTTGTCTTGCAGTATGATTTCCTAGCACACTATCTCACAAGAATTATTAGAATCATAACGAATACTGAATCATCTTGAGCAAGTACTAATGCGAGGATAATGAAACATTCAAGTGGAATTATTGTAGCCACTTGGATATGTGGGCCTGGGACCTCAGAGTCCTCCAGGCGATACCCATCAAATGCTGCTCCCATGCTCTGGCCTGTATAGACATTATGGGTTTATGCTCTCATGCTTGCTTCTTTCCAGTTTGGTGACTGAGAAGAGTTTCAAATTGGTCAGGTTTTCGAATCCTTTGATGTTTACCTGCTCATAATTTTCTTGATGTTTGTCTCAAACATCTCCTTTATGTTCCTAGCGATTGAGGAACTAATCTCTCTACTATGGAAAGGGCCTTTGGAGTTTCTTCAGTCTCCCTACAATATACACTGAACACAACCCAAAACACCTAAACTATTACTCAGAGTGGTATGCACATTAATTTTGACACATATATTGGCACAGAATGTTCCAAGAACTGATATTCTAATATTTTGTTAACAACTCAACACTCTACTTAGTTCATCCTTAATTCAGTGACATCATTTGGTATAAGTTAAAAAGACACCACTAAGGGATGTAACTATTACAAATAGTAAGTACATCGGTCTAAAAGACTAAGTGCTTTTGAACGTCAGTTTATCCAATGTCATATAAATGCCATCATTTACAGACAATTGCTGTCAATAGTTGGGTATGACATATTATAGTATACTTTTCTCTTTGCAAATACACAGGTTTCTTTTTCTTTTCCTCCTCCTCTTCCTTCTTATTTTACATTTCAACAATGAGATTACATAAACCAACTTTGGAATGTCCATATAATGTAATAGTACTCAGCACTAAAAGGGAAAAAATACCAATGCACACAATATGTATGAATCTTAAAACCTTTCCCTGAGTGGAAAAAGACAAACACAAAAGAGGAAATACTGTAGGATGTAAGTTAAAAAAGTTGTAGAAATAGAACAACTAAACTATACAAACCGAAAGCCTACTGGTGTTTGCCTGTGAGGGATTGGGAATAGACATGAAAAATATCCGAGGTGAGGATAATGTTCTACATATTGATAGAGGTTTGGGTTACACAGGCATACACAAGCAATTGTCAAAATTCAATGAATATACTGGAATTAGGATTTGTGCATTTTGCTCTAAGTTTTACCTCAACAGGATAAAAAGTAAAAATAAAGAAATAATAAACTCTAGTTAATCATTTGGATTTTCACTATACAACCTGTTCAACATTTCTGGATGTTTGAAAGGTTTCATATTAGGAAAAATGGACTCATACTAACATAAATGTATACCCTACTTTAGTCCCCTTCAGTATACCTTGACCATTACTCCACATCATTTTATATGCTACTACTATCTTTCAAATGGAGGTATAAACTTACATTTTACAGGTGTCCTATCATTTCTACCATGTGGTCTGTTTCAATAATTTTGTTTTTCATCACTATGATAACAACTATGGGAGTAAAAATATTGTTTTTGTGAAAAATTATTGCCTTAAAACCATTTCCTTGAGATATATCCTTAGGGTCAGCTGGTATATGTTCTGTTCCCAGTTTGGTAGCACATATTTTCTAGGGCAAACACGGAGGGGTACCTATCAATCTGCATTTCTAACAGCAGGATGTGAGAGAATCAGTTTTAAAGCCAGTAGGCAATGCAAGGGAATGCAACTATTTCCCATTTGCTTAAGTACCTCTTTGTCAGAACTCTCGAATTATCAAAACTCTAAATATTATTTTAAATATAATTTCTTATAAAGAGCTTGGTGGAAAAAAATATCAGGAAATGCAAGGGAGCATGAGCAGATGGTAAGTAGTAACAATAACTCCCATTGCTATTGATAACACACGTATAATTCCTAGACAGGAATCATTCTCTATGCTTGGGGTGGAGGACGGAATGAATATTGGAGGAACACACACATTGGATGCCTCAGTCACCAAACTGGAAAAAAAAACAAAACATTTAGTTCTTGTTGAGGCAGTTAAAATGACAGCAACTAGGAGGTTACATAAAGAAACACTCACCGATATAGATACACCAACTGTTATATAAATTAATAAGGTTAATATGAGAAGGTATTACAAAGAGATGGATCTGAGGGCAGAGAGAATTTTAAGACAAAGCCACACATGGGTTTGCTCACCAGTTCATGTCCGGGCTCTTGTCCAATATCCACCATGGAGAAAGTGATCCATCCATTATGCACTGAATGCACAAACAAATGAACAAATCTCAAAGGTGCATGCAGTGTTGGACAACACAGACTCTACCCTGGTGTCTGACTTGGGAAGAAGTTTATTCATCAAGGACTGGGGACAGGATTAGTTTCAACAATGAGATTACATAAACCACCTTTGGAATATCCTAATACTAATAAACATAAGTTTAAGTTCAGGAATCACTTTAAGAGCTCTCAGTGGGTCAGTGAGACTGGAGGAGAGGTCTAGGACTCTGGGAGTGGTACAGACTTTATTGATAATTGGTTGTGGCTGGAAGAGGCCCTGGTCATGGGGAGAGGTGCTTCCCCTGCCCCTGTTTTTTTTTGCAACTCATAGCCTTTTTCTGATGAGGCCTTGGGGTTACAAAGGACCAGAGGTCTGAGATATTTTACAGATTCTGAATGATTGTTAATTTGGAATC